AGCTCTGTATCTACTACTGGTGCAATATTTTATTGAATAATAATAATAATAATAATAATAATAATAATAATTTAATAGAAATTGTATGCATTTATTTTTTTTTTTCTTTAAATATGTTTTGATGGAAAGTTGTCATAATTGCACTGATACTATTAAACCCAAGGGTTGACGTGGGTATATATGTATGGTCATCCTTTTTCGATCGGGAGTAACACGATTTTAAGGTGGTGTGTCCGTTTGGCTATGCGCGATGTGTAAATTCACAGCCATGCCTAATCAGAATGGGGACATTAAATCCGATTCTTCGTATAGAGAGTGTAATGTTCCTTGTACTTTAAGAACCTTTCAACCACTCTTTGAGGGTTCCATGAATGACCTTTTGGGAGGCTGAATGTATGTCCCTATCCAGTATAAACTCATTTTCTAGTGACATTCCAAATTTCCAGTCCTTCATCCCGGTCGACTCTCGTTTACAGAACATTCCTTGATAGTATTGATTTTTAATTTTATCGTGTCCTGAACATGCATGCAATATTTGGTACTGGAGTTAATCAAACAAGCAATCAGGCAACGCATTCATACCATATCTTTCATTTCTTATCAAATTTTCATATTGTAAGCACCGTTTAGCCAGAGAGATAATGAGAGGATATGAAGGGACAATAAAGCATAACACCTATCCAATAGTAACTCACAGCAAAAATAAAAACGACAAATGAACAAATAATATAAAAACCAACCACACGAACACAATCGAAATCCGGGGATGAAATTATGCTATCCGAAAATGCTTTGCATCAAATCATTTACAATTGCATATCAATAAAAAAAATCAAGGATAGAATTAAGTTGACAGAGGTTCGGCGATGTTAAAATCTCGTTAATCGATTCAGAAGAGACAAATCAATGTTGCACAAAAATTGAAGGAATCACATAAATCTCTAAAAAGAGCGAGACCGGATACATCATCATGGGTAGCGTCTCCCTCCTTGGATTCATCACACGCCACGCAAATTAATACATAATCAACATTTTAAAATCGGCAGTATGACACAATAGGCTGAATTACAGATCATACGACTATACAGGTATCTAAAAAGATCATTTTCTTTTCAATTTTTGAATCTTCTACAAGAGTTAAGAATTATATAATTCGTGTTATACTATAAAGCGAAACAAGACATTAAAACAGCTTTCAACAGGAGAATACCCATTTCTAACATAAAAGACTCGTGGGAAAAATGATTTCCATAATAAAACATTTAAGTACCGAATAAAAAATTCACATCAACATCAGCAGAGAAAGAGCCTTAAGACACGTGTCAGTTAAGGAATAGAGTAAAGATGTCAACTATAAAAGTCCTTTTAAGGTATATTTGATAATTTATTTGTCAATGCAGACTTTAAGGATATATTATTCATTTAAATGATTGGTGCTGAAAGGAAAATGCGCACTTACCGTTTTCAATTAGCAGCTCAACCATTTCAAAATATGCTTCATGACATGCAACGTGAAGAGGAGTTAACCCTCCTTCATTCTTAAGATTTATGTCCGTGTCAGCCTAAAGTATTTCAAAAAAGAACTACTTAAATAGAAACAAAAAAAAACAATATCTTCATTTCCTATATTTTAATTAGTCGTACTAGTTTTAGATATATATGTATATCATTTTTCTTTATGGATAGTTTCTGGTGTTTAACAAGAAAATAACAACTTGAAAAATTTTAAAAATGCTTGATTCAAATGATACATTTTTACTTCAGAAACAATAATGACAGTAACTACAACAGACACATCTAGTACATGTTAATCTCCTTGGTTGACCTTTAGTACGAGCTTTTTTGAAAAACATAACTTTACCTTTGTTAAAAGAGTTTCTGCGACATCTTGGTGATCATTGATAGCAGCAACATGCAGGGCCGAAAATCCATCTTTTTCGTAGTTTTAGAGAGCTCTGGGGATTTTTCTAACAGTTTTTCTGTCGCACTTCAAGATAAAATTTTGCATAAAAGGTAATTTAATTATTTCCTAATTGCAGTTACTTTTTTAGTAAATAAGGGTAAATAAGCCCTACTTCCTTAACAGAGAGATTGACAGCTGATACGTTTACATTTAAGTACACTTTACACATACTTAATTGATTACCAAATTTAAAAAAGCAAAACTGTTCAATCAGGAGGAATTCAAACTGAAATCACCATTACACAAGTTTGATTGACACAATCATAAATATTTGTAGAATAGCTAAGTTCGTCTATCTTTACTCTGTGTGGGGGATTTGCAATCTAAGTTTATAGCACATATACACTATTTTATGAAACTTGACATTTGCAAACAATATTTATTACATTTAAAATTCCAGTACTGAAGGACTGTGTCCTGTGATCATTAGATTCCATTGGTCTGGTAGTCAACCAGCAGCGGCACCGTGATTTTTCAGGGCGTATGTATTTGAGAATCTTTTTTACGACTTAAACCCTCTGTTGTCATAAGTGTGGGATTATTAAGACGAACATTTGTGTATGGATAAATACGTTATTGAGATTCCAACTCAAATTCAATTAAACCAAGCGATTAGTTTCAGTTTCCTAATCTTGATTTAGAGTATTTTTAAACACCATATTACCAATAAAAGATTAAACTTAACATTTTAGTACATACTTATCATTTCCCTTGAATGCAGCAAAAATTAGTAGATTAAAATCTTTGTTGTTACGAAGTGTTAAATTGATTGATGGAATAGCAAGTAATAATTCTACTGCTTTGTCGTTTCCTGCTGCAATTGCATCATGCATTGGTGTGTCACCTTCGACATCCTATATAGCTAAATGTCAAACAGCTTGAATAACAATATTATGGAACGTCTTCACTTAAAAAAATACATGTAATTACTATATTTATGCGGATAAATTTCTCATTTAATGTATTGTTAATTTATCATTTTTACTGTAGAAATGGCAAAATTGAAGTTTTACTAGTGTTTAGGACTGTTTGATGTTTATTTTGTAGAAATTGTAGGTCCACAATGCTCTTCAGCTTCGTACCTTAGAGAAGTAAAGAGTTTACAAGGATTTTTTTAATTTGCTATAAAATTTAGGTCGCGTAAACCCGTTTCTCATACAACAACTTACAAGTACATTACAACTTCTAAATAAGTTTTATATACTGATATCCATTTAAGAATTAAATAACCGTTAAAACACAAACCTAATTAAAGAAGACAGCTTTATAATTTGATATGCAAGACACGCGTTTCGTCTACACACGACTCATCAGTGGCAGAAAAGGAGGGACGAAAGATACCAAAGGGACATTCAAACTCATAAGACGAAAATAAACTGACAACGACAAGCTGAAAAAAAAGACAAACAGACAAACAATAGTACACAAATAAAGGCAACAGTAGTATACCGCTGTTCGAAATTCATAAATCGATTGAGAAAAAACAAATCCGGGTTACAAACTAAAACTGAGGGAAACACATCAAATATAAGAGAACAAAGACACAACAGAAACACTAAAATGCAACACACACATAAACGAACTATAAGATACCAATAGCCATTTTCCTGACTTGGTACAGGACATTTTAAGAAAAAATGGTGGGTTGAACCTGGTTTTGTGGCTAGCCAAACCTCCCGCTTTAATTGCAATGTTGAATATAACACTAAAATGATAACATTACATGACAGGACTACAATACAAATAAATGGAAGAACACAACATAGAAAAAATAAGACTGAGCAACACGATCCCCACTAAAACTGGGGGTGATTTCAGGTGCTCCGAAAGGTTAAGCAGATCCTGCTCCAATATGTGGCACCCGTGACCTTTAAAGCAAAATAGTTGAAAGGCCAAACTAAATACGAAGAGCATACAAAACCCAAAAAATCGACATAGCGCCAAATACGAGTAAGACAATCTATGACTGGGTTAGAAATCTAAGTAACTTAACGACAATAAATTTATCCATTATATTTTAAGTGAAAAAAAATCTATTGACTACTGAGCTGATGATATCCTCAGTGTCGAAACGTTTTCCCGCAAAACAGAAAGAAATACGAAATGATGCAATACCTCTTTTTACGAAAATACCAGAGTGGCAAACATAATCCTAATTGGTAAAGAAAATAAACACACCTCTGCTAAACCAAACGATAAATAATCAATACCGCATAAATTAAGCTACTGGTACACCAATTAACTCGTTATGGCATTGTATGCCCATAAATCAACATATTTCGGGTGAGTTATAACTAGGTTTTTGATTTGAAAAAATAGAGTATCCAATACAAACCAATGAAAGTGTAGACTAACCTGCAGATTAGGGTTAATATCCTTTTGTAAGGTAGCTCTTAGAAGCTCGTTCATTCCAAAGTAACTTGCATGGTGAGCGACAGTGCGCTTATGTCTCCCTATTACTTTGACAGATGCTCCTCTCTGCAGTAAATATAACGCAATTGCTTCTTTTTTCCTGAAATGATTATTGTAAGCTTTATCAAAATCATGACAGTTCTGTTCAGTATATGTAGATTTGGTTTGAAAATTGCTTGAATTGGCTGTTGCTTTTAAATGTTTAATTGAAGTGAACTGATCCCACTTATATTTGAATATATAAAACTAATATATACGCTTAATTATATATGGAAAAGGTTGATTGTTTTTGCTGTTGGATCCTAAAACTTACTCCTTACAAATATATTAGATGAGATGAAGTAAATGTCTTTGTTGTCGGAGTTTAAGAAGAATTTTCTTTGTAAATTTTATCATTAGATTAACTGTATGCTATTCTCTGCCAAGATACCTCATTAATATATCACGTTTTCATATTTGTTAGCACAATTGTAGTCCCCTTTCTCCTGGTAAAGTATAGCACACTGATGCATGGATTAGTGTGAGAATTCAAATTGTGGGTAAATTGGCATCTGATAATTGTTTATCAGTATTAATGCATACCCTGCTGCAGCTATGATGATCGTCGTATAAGCAATTATACATACCCGGCTGCAGCTATGAGGAGCGCTGTATTACTGTCCTCAGAAAGAGTTTCCAAGTTTGCTCCGTTGTCTAATAATAGCTTAACTATAGACAAGTGTCCTCCATGACTTGCAAACATCAAAGGTGTCAGTTCTTTGAACTTGCAGTTAACCTTTAAATGTTTAAACGTATTCAAATGATCTAATTTTAATTCAATTATTATGCTGTATTTTTTTATTTGTAGTAAATCTGCTGTCGACTAGGCTATAACTGTTTATAGTTTCTGTGATTAGAGTATAAATATCCATAACCTGTTTATCATTATGCATTGTGCCAAGGAAAAGTGTAAATGTGTTAAAAAAGAATACAAATATAATTTCGGTGGGCGTAAAACAGAAAACAGCCCTTAGTTAAGCATATTGCGAAAATAGCTTTTTTTTGTGTGGCGTTGAGATGTCTCAATAAAGAATAGACAAACATATCTTTTCCTCAATTTTAAAAAAGACCGACAGGAATTTACGTCTTATCATTTTTCTTGTGAATCCGACAAATTAAATTCACATTACTCTGTAATCAAATGGAATATTTTCTAAAGACAATATAGAGCAGGTTTTTTTGGGGGGCTGGACGGTAAATTTTCACGGATATGTCGATGTAATACAGTTCTATGCAAAGCACAAAAATGTCGTCACTCACCTCAAAAGCTAACCAAACCTTCAAACAGACTTATTCAGAAGGACTGTTGTCAGGACATTAAAGATGGCATATTTTGGAATTAATATTAATTCACTCTTAGGGTCTTTGCATCGGAAATAAACACATGTATTCTAAAACCAGCATGATACGGGTTATGTTCTTCCCATATATTTTATGGTGGTATGATCTTTTAATCAGTTAAATTGAGGTCTGGAGCTGGTATATCAGTAACTGCTAGTCGTCCTTTGTTAATTTATGTATCATTGTCATTTTGCTTAGTTTCTTCTATTACCTATTTTGACATCGGACTCGGACTTCTTTTAAACTGAGTTTAACTCTGTGTATTTCTGTGTGTTTGTTTATTCTACATTGGCTTGAGGTATAGGGTGAGGGTTGAGATCCCACAAAACATGTTTAACCCCGCCGCATTTTGCGCCTGTCCCAAGTCTGGAGCCTCAGGCCTTTGTTAGTCTTGTTTTTTTTTTTTTATTTTAGTTCATTTTATGAGCCAGCTGAAGCCCGCCTCTGGGTGCGGGATTTTTTCTCTGTATTGAAGACCCATTGGTGGCCTTGGGCTGTTTTCTAACCTTTGGTCGGATTGTTGTCTCTTTGACACATTCCGCATTTCCATTCTCAACTTTAATTAATTGTTTCTAAATAAGAAAGTCAAATTCATATTTATTCGCAAATCAGTCATTTCTTGTTTTATTGAATCTAATGTTATGCTAGACATGTTTTGCTTTATTTTGTAAATTATAAGAGTTGTTTTGTATAAACTCACAATGAGTGTCACTACGGGGGAGGTAAGCATTAATCGTATTGAAAAAATATTAAGTTGAATTTAATATGCACCACCTTTCGTTTATTATTTGGTGTTTCATGGACTTTATTACGTCCTATGTTTTTGTTCTTATTTTATTTTGTCGTCATGGTGTTGTCTGTCTATTTGTTTAGGTTTATCGAATGGAACTATTACCAAATCTTTCTTCAGTTTGATATATTGCTGAACAGAAGCTATATCGCCTTTTACTACAGCTTGCACCATCTGCTCTGGTCCAATAGTTTGCATCCTTTGTTGATGACCCAGGATTACCATGTGTGCAAGTCATTTCTTGTACTTTCTGATATAAGCAAAGGTTTAGTCAGTTATTAAAACCATAGAAATAATACTTCTAAAATAAAAAGAAAGTTACAGCTACACACCTCATTTCCTAATAAGACGAACAAACCATACTTGTTTAGAGCCAACCACATATATATTCTTACATTATCAAACTGTTAGAAATAAATGTAATTGCCTGTAAATTGTTAAGTCAACCACCTCATTCCACAGATCAACTACTTCAAACTAAATTTTATGTCGCACTTGATGATTTCAACTTCACAATCTACAGGTCCCGTTTCAAAGCATTTCAAAGCAGTTACATACCCTCTATCGAATAATGTATCATTTGATACGTTAATCTGATGCATGTTTACTTCATACAAAGTTCATTAGCAAAGATGTGTTCTTAACACAAAAACCGTTCAAAAAGAGTTATGAGAAAGAACGACAAAATCGACACATGATTTACGGTCATGATAACGAATAAGGCAACTGAACCATCTGTGTCTAAACACACCAGCAGTCTTAAGGTGGCTCGGGTGTCTTCCTCCATCTTGGATTTCGGAGTAGCAGATAACGTTGGTCTAGATATTTCATGAAATGTGCAAACTTTGAGAGTAGTATGTAATTTATGTAAAAGACTTTTGATGTAAATATGGAAAACTGTGTTTATAATTACGGCTGTAATTTCTCAAAAACACCTTATTTGTGTTTGATTAGATTTTTTTCAACTTTGCCAAATAAGGGGAGATAACTCAGATAAAGTAATTTTTATAATAGAAAGTGTTGTGAATTTACCTATTTTGATATGTAGCAAGAAAACAAGTTCGGTGATTTTCTTTTTCTGATCTAAAAGCTTCTTATAAGAGCTATCTTCTCACATTTTATCTTAAAGTTCTATCAAGTAGTTTTCTTTTTATCACACAAAATTTGATTTTCCATGCATAATCTATACAAAATCTGACAATTTTGCACAAACTCTAATTAAGCAAAAACCCATACTTTTTATTATATTTTTGAAAAAAGCATGATAAATACTTCATTTTGACAAATTATCAAAAAATTCTATCAATTTTAATTAAGACGCCCCAGCCACCTTAAATCTTAATATAAGAGAAGTCCTATAATCTATTATATTTCGATTTTGTCCTATTTCTGATTGAGAATTCTTGGCTCAGTGTGGATTGGCGGGGATGCATGCTCAGCAAGAGACGCTTACGCAGTTCCTTTGTGAGTTAATACGATTCCCTCAGTTTTTGTGTTTGTAACTTTGATTTACTTCTTGAGATTTGAAAATCGGTAGACTGCTATTGCTTTATTTATGTTTTAATAATAACCTTCTCTTGCTTTTGGTTTCATTTCGGTCTGTACCACTTCCAGATTATGGACCTTCTGACCTGGTGCAGGAATAAGGCAAGTAGGACTATAGACCCAGACTTGCTGTCCAAACTGTAGAACAACATCACCATCGCTGTCTATTTTCTCAACTTTTCCTATTTTCCCACATGCCTATAACATTTGAATTTGTCGTTTCTATTTTTCTCAATCAGACTTATTATATATAATATGTTTTTAAAATTCTGATTTTTGTGGTTATCTTCTTACGTCTGCAGAACAAGACAATGAAACAAAAATCTTAAACACAATAAAATATATTTGAAAAAAAAGTATAATACAAATATCGAACTCCAAGGTGAATTCAAAAAGGAAAACCCATAAAAACTGATAAAATCAAATGCTAGACTCTCTCAACCAACGGATGGATCAAATGGAAAACAACTATTATATTCCTGACTTGATACAGGCATTTTCCGACAAAAATGATGGGTTAGACCTGGTGTATAGCTAGCTTAACCTCCCTGTCGTATGACAGTTGTTTATAGTTCCGTTATAATGACACAATTGGATAAGCAACACAAACGGACATCAAAGTTTAATGTGACAATAATTGGGATCCAAACTTGATGAAACGTCACAGTAATGTTGACTGGCATTTTAAAATGTGACATTTGGCTTCGGAATTTCCAAAACCCTTTACCATGGAAACAATGCAAAAAAAAGGTCAAAATTCTCCAAAAACCTTAAAGAAGAATTTCCATTGAAAATGGTAGGTCAAATCCATTGAAACTTCGACGGTATGTACACCCCAATGTATCAATGTGGCATCTGTCATTAAAATTTTGAAAATGGTTTCTGTTACCATGGAAACCAGCAAATGTCAAACATTTCAAAAAAAACTCCCAAACAAAATTAGGTGGAAGGAAAATATTACTAATCATAATAACAATAATACTGAAAACTTTTTTAAATGGAAATCATATTTTTTTTCATATGGATCTAATATAGCCAGAGATGTTAGAATATTAATATGTAATAAACATATTATAACTGATAATTTTAAATTTGATATTGATGGAAGATTAATTTATGTAGACTGTAATATAAATGGTAATACATTCAGACTTATTAATGTATATTGTCCAAAATAATAAAACAGAAAGAGTGAAAGTTTTGAATAGAACTCACTCACATTTTGTATGTGACAGGAAAATAATATTCGCCGGGGATTTTAATTGTATTATGAATGCCAAGTTGGATAAGAGGGGAGGTAATTCAAATTTTGGGCAAAAAGGGGCTGATCAGATTAGAGCATTACTTTCTTATTACAGTTTATGCGATTCGTTTAGATATCTTTTTACTGACAAAACTTCTTAAACTTGGTGTTCTCATGCTCAAAATGTTTCATGTCGTTTAGATAGAATATATATAAGTAGCATTTTTAAACAATATATACATAATGTTACTGTCAACGCTACTGGTTGTAGTGATAGTGATGCTGTTATTTTAACTTTTGAAAATATAAAAACTTAACCACTGTTTATTGTTATTGGAAAATTGATAATGATATTTAACAAGATAAACCTTTTAGAGACGCCTTCAAAAATATTTTGTTAAATTTAATTGATGATTTGGATGGAGATCAAGATATTTGGTCAATTTTTAAAGATAAGATAAAGTTAATTATTATTTATTATTGTGAACGCAAGAATAAAATTAAACGTAAAATTATACATGAATATGAACAACAATTATATAGATTACAAAAACATGAGCAGTCTAACCCTTGCGAATATATTGAACAGGTAAAGGCCATCAAACAGTTGATACACGAATTTCAAAAAGCTCATTTTCAAGGTTAAAAAATTCGTTCAAAAGCTAAAATTTTAGACAATTCTGAAAAACCGTCCAATATAAAAAAGAAGATGTGGTAAGATTGCCACAAGAGACCAAATGACACAGAAATTAACAACTATAGGTCACCGTACGGCCTTCAACAATGAGTAAAGCCCATACCGCATAGTTAGCTATAAAAGGCCCCGAAATGACAAATGTAAAACAATTCAAACGAGAAAACTAACGGCCTAATTTATGTACAAAAATTGAACGAAAAAACAAATATGTAACAAATCAACAAACGACAACCACTGAATTACAGGCTCCTGACTTTGGACAGCCACATACATACAGAATGTGGCGGGGTTAAACATGTTAGCGGGACTCCAACCCTCCCCCTAACCTGGGACAGTGGTGTAACAGTACAACATAAGAACGAACTATAAAAATCAGTTGAAAAAGGCTTAACTTATCAGATGGATACAAATAGAAATACATATAGCAAAAAACATAGAGTTGACGTGGCCTTGTATATCACAACAACAAAAAGACACTAAGTACAGATCTGAGAGTACTCGCAGTTACTGACAGCTAGTTCATAGCCAGTACCAACTAATAAAAAAAATCATGCCTCTTAGACTAAATCCAAGGTTTTTTTTCAACTTGAAGCTAAAAGAGAACGGAAAAAAATAATTACAAAAATTGGGAAAAATTCAAAACATTTTTCAACTTCGGGCGATATTATAGACCAGTTTCGGAATTTGTATACCACTGTATTCACTACGAAAGGTATTGATAATAAACTATGTGATTTGTTTTAGAAGATTAACCAAAATTGAGTGAATTTGACAAACATTTTTTGACGAACCTTTTATAAAAGATGACATTTTAAAAGCTCTCAAAGGTAAGGAGAATTCCTGGTCCAGATGGTTTATCTTAAGAATTTTATGTAACTTTTTTTATATTGTGTCTGATTTTTTACTTGATATGTATAATAATATATTAAAAGAAAGTGCTTTGCCTGATGATCAGAAACTATCATATCTAACACGTATATGTAAAAATCCAGAAAAAATCTCATATTTTAAAGCTGTATCGACCGATATCACTGTTAAATGTTGACGTCAAGATTATATCCAGAATTATGACTAATAGATTTATGACTGTCATGCATGTTTTGATACATCCAGATGAGACATGTGCGGCTCGTGATCGATTAATTCTTGATAATGCTCATATTTTAAGGAATATCTCTGGTTTGTCGAACAAAAAACATTCTTTTTGCCTTTGTTGGTGTTGAAAGCGTATGATCGTGTTGAGTATGATTTTCTTTTTGAAGCGTTAGCTATATATAGAAAAGTATGATTTTGGTCCAAATATTATTAAATGGATCAAAATTGTATACACTGATATTTCTTCTTCTGTTATAGTTTATAATTTTACATACTATGATCCTTTTCCATTGAGTCGAAGCGTAAAACAGGGATGCCATTTATATCCCTTGTAGTATGTAAAAGTTCTAAAAGTTGCTAGGAAAGTAATGCAAGATTTATTTGTTGTTAATTTTGTTGTTGGATGTTGTCTTTTTGACGTCTGTGCAACCTTTTTCACTGTTTGCGTTGTAAGTATAATACCTTATTCATTCCTAAGTCACATTTTTCACTATTTGCTTTGTAAGGGTATTCTTTCATTGACGTATATGCCACAGTGTTGTTTTATTATTGAAGTTATAAATGTACTGTGTCGTTGACGTATATGACACATACTCTTTTAATATATGGTAAGTTTGGGTATGGTTCCTAAACGTAAATGTCACATC